TAATGTAATTCTAAAATCCAATGCTTGATAATGCCGAATTCAAAACTTATGGAATTTGACCAAAATATTTTTTTAGTTGTCTCAGAATTTAAGAATAGCTGTAATTCGCTTACCAATGGCAACAAATCTTTTCTGTTCTGTTTGTGGTATAGTAAAAAAAAAATATTTTATAATTAATGACGATAAAATTTAATGCAAAACTAACATATTAATCTAAATTACATATCTGCAGCTGCAAATTCTTCCTGATTCAGTCTGTAAGTATTGTAATTAAATTGTTTAGAGTAAATGACGATACCACAATAAATACAATAGCAGATACACCAAATTCTTCCAATTCTATCTACAAATATAATTAATTTTTTTGATAATTCCGGAAACACTTGATAAAAATTAGCTGAATAATTTTTGGCCGATTTGATTAAGTTTGTGAATTCGTATGATTAATTCAAATTGATATATAATTAACAGCTGTTCTTATAAATTTTGGGCAAAATGACCGATAATAATTCAGCCGAATTCAATAAGTCTTTGAATTTTGTATTATCAGAATTATTGTAACACCAAAAATCCAATGTTGATAATAAGGAATTCAAAAACTTATCGAATTCAGCTGAATTATCATCGGTCATTCTGCCCAGAATTTATGAGAATAGTTGTAATTTTATTGAGTATGTTGACATGTAGAATAAGTATTATATGTGATACAAAACTTATTTCTATGTACTGATTATATCGAAATCACAAACTTAAATGAATCGTTCGAAAAAATTCATTCGGCTAATTTTTTATTATGAGTTCCATGAATTATAAAAAACAGTAGTAAATTATTATGCTACGATAAGGTTAACACAAACTAACATATCGAAAAAAAACTTACCAGATGTTATATTACGTTGGATAAGTGCGTGAATATTCATGTTTTATCAAAAATCCGCTGCTGATAGAATTTTTAACGTAGGATGTTAGAATAGAATTGGTGTTAAAAAAATTACTAATATAAATAAGGGTATGTACATATTTGGCTTTAGACTATCGCCATAAATAATAAGCATTATACTGATTATGCTGATATCAATAACTTATCAGAGATTTTGGGTCAATATTGCAAACATCAAAACTCCAATGTACTAAACCTTTAAAACTAAATCTTGAAAAAAAATTTTTCAAAAATTAATAATTATGAATTTTAGAATTCTTTTTATTCAAGATTTGTTTTGGAATATTACCTCTTCGGGATTGTTGTTTCAGAATTATAACAACAGCTATAAAAACTTTGCGAAGATCATCAGTACCATTACTAACCTAAAAAATTTCATTAGCTGATCAGATCAGGTGCTGCGCAGAAGAAAAACAACAAATCACACAAAAAAAAATATTCATAACTTAACATTTTACCTTTGAAACCATCCTATATACATTAACAAAAAGTTTTCTTGCAAAATTTTGGTATTAAACAGCTCATTGTAACCTAAAATTATAGCAAAGCGTAACCATAATCTAGAAGTGAAATTATTCAGCAAAAGTTTTTAGGTTAGTAACACTATAACAGTTGTTATATATCAATAGCGATAGTAATAGGTACAAAATCTTTCCAGTTAAGGGAAATATTTTAATCCAGAAATAATCACTTATAACCAGATTTATAGCTGTTCTGAGACAACTGAAAAATTTCTGATTGCTAATAAGTTTCTGAGTTTAACCGAAGCTACAGTTACCTAGTGATTCTGAATTAGTAACTTATCGAATTTGATTATCAGAAATTTTTCAATTGCCTCAGAATTTATGAAAACATCTGTAATCATTAAGTCTAGATTGTTAAATCATTAAATATGGATTTAACCAATAGATTCGATAAACCAAGCTAAAAAAATTTCGTTAAGCAAACAGATTCAGATAAGTGCTATGCAGAAGAAACGCAAAAGAATTAAACCAAAAAATCGGTCATAACTCAACATTTTACCTATGAAACCACCTTCCACACATTAACAAAAGGTTTCTTCGTGAAATTGTCGGTATTAAAAAGATCTTACTAACCTAAATTAACAACAAAAATTATCTTAGAAAAATTTTTTTCGCTAGAACAGTTGATCTGATATAGATGTAATGAATAATTCCAAATAAAGCAATGTATTTTCATTTAAAGAACTTACCAGCAAAAACCGAACAATCAGATCTACAAATTTGATCAAGGTTATATAAATATGTAGCAATAAATCACGAAATCGCTGTTACCAAAATCATGAACTACTACTATTAAATAGGAACTTACTATCGAAGCAACAAAGTTATAAATCGACGCTAAAATCATTTATTCCTGGGACACCTTTAAAAAATTAGCCGAATGATTTTTGACCGACCCGGATAATTTATTATTTCAGAATAATAGATTCAATAAAAATTGGTACGTATGTACGTACGCACGTACCAATTTTTATTGAATTTATTATTCTGAAATAATAAATTATCTGGGTCGGTCAAAAATCATTCGGCTAATTTTTTAAAGGTGTCCCAGGAATTACACATCCACTCCTCAAGTTGTAAACCAATCTAATGGTAAAGAATTCATCATTAAAACGCAAAGACAACAAAACCGTTTTATGTGGTATCTAAAATTTATTAGTATACAGGTAAATAGTTTAATAATTTTTAAATTAAATCTGAATTTAAAAGTAGCCATTAACTTACTATCTCTCTATTATATTTAATAATCTTTAAAGTTATGATCATTATAGGATCTGTAAATTTATATTAATGCGGTAAGTAATTCAATAATTTTTGAATCAATATTAAATTTAAAAAAATCTATTAACTTATCATCTTTTCATCCATATTTTAGTGCTGCACAGAAAAAACTGTAAATAAAATTTTATTTGTTAATCACTATGCTGTTTTTAATCACTAAAAAATTGTAATCATACATCAGTAATCAAGAGCGGCAATGTAATTTACGAATAAAATTTTACCTAAAGGTTTTCTGTGCAGTATTCATCTAATGTATTTCAAAGCTCTGAAGCAAATCTTTAAATTAATAGTGGCACAAATCCATAAAGTGCAAATCAGAAATTTCTAAACAAACGTTCGTGTTGTCAAAAATCACTTATTTCTCAAAATTGGCATAAAAAATCAATTTTAGTGCTCTAACAAAAAGTTTTTCTTGAGCGATTTTACTATTGAATCTTCTATTTGACTGCATGATAATAGTCAATATTACCTGGTGCAGAATTTGTTTGGGCGTCAATTTGAGTTTCTTGCAATGTTTTTTTTTAGATAAGACGTTATAGAAAGAATAAAATGAGTGCGGGAAAAAAAATAATACAAAAAAAAGAGGGGGACGCATTTGTTTACATACCTTATTTAATAGCTTGTGCATCTGGAATGCATAAATTAAGTTACACGATCTGCAGATCTAATATAAATTGTACTGTAAACAATTTATGCAGATCGGTTACACTTGTGCATCCGGAATGCATACTATGTGACAGAATTAGCACTTTATATATATAAAGATATAGAATTCATACAAGATTTATCTTTAGCTATATTTATTATATACAGAATTTATACAAGATTTATCTTCAGCTATATTTATTATATATGAAATTTATACAAGATTTATCTTCAGCTACCCTGTGAAAAAAGTGGTTCGGGTTATGGCACGGGTTGTCGTTGGAAAGGTTCGAAATGGCACGAATTATATGGTACGCAAAGATTCGTTTTACGGTATGGTACGGTTAAAAATGACACGTAAATGCACATTGAATAAAACAGGTATGATGTCACACAGAATGGCACGTACATGTGACACGCATATGCAGGTTATACGAGATGGCACGTCTCACATATTATAGTAATAAGAGTAGAATGCCTAAGCTTTTATAGTTCAAGCATATGAATCTAATTATCCTTTTAAAATCCTATCTACTAGAGCTACGTACAGTACAATAATATGATATTATATATTCTAGATTTAGGCTTTAATTATTTTAGTAACGGTTAATAGTTTTTTTATTTGCTATAAATATGAATTATACATTAATATATTATTGAGATAATATTGTGAAATAATAAATTATTAAAAATTATTAATTTTAGGTTTATTCAGAAATTTCATAGTGAATAACACATATTGGTAGATATATTAAAGTTGTTGGTACTATTAAAGTATTCATATTGGCAATATGATAACCATGACTAATATCTAATTTTTTTCACTACCTTTTCTTGTCTTTTATTAGCAGCTTTAGATCTTAGTAATGATTAGTTCTTCAATATACAAGCGATAGAAACTTATATAATAATTTTAAAAAATTTTGTATAGAGTAATAAATTGCGAATTATAAAGAAAATAGTAATAAACTGCTACCTTACATTAATCTAAAATACTTAAGCGATCTAAAGTATGTTATTATTCTTTCAAATTTGATTAATTTTATTTTACAAATAAAATTAATATTTAATTTGTTTTATCAATAATATATAAATGCTTTTCTAATTTAAAAAAATCTACACATCTTCGAATCATTGATACATCTACAAATTCGTAATCACCAAATTCTTCAAAATTATATAAGCCATATAACCCCTTTTGCGCATTTTTTACATTTTGAATATACGCAAACAATTGATATTTTTTATCAAAAACATAATAAAGATAAAATTGAATTTGACCAAAAAATTGTCGTAGTTCATACTTTTCTAGAACTTTTGATTTAGAAATGTTAACTTCAAGCTCATACTTAAAAAATAAAATTTTAAATTATAAAATTAAAAAAAAGTTATTGTTTTAAACTAATTAATCATTTTTTGATATAGTATTTAATTCTAACAAATATTAATTAAAAAAAACTTACTAGTACGCATGAATTTTCTCGTGCATTTGCTCTAGTTGTTGACATTAAAGAATTAAGCATATAGCCATCTCTTGTACGTAGTTTTGCATATTTTATTCCCCAATCGCATAGCTTATAAAATAAATATTAATATTTTATCAGTAAATTTTATATAAAATAAGAACTTACTTCGACAATAGGTTGATTTAAATTTGCTTGATAAAATTTTGTTAATGCTATAAATTCTTTATTATTTAAAGTATAATCTAGACTAGGTGCCCAAAGCTCTTCTCCACCATCTTCTATCCAAACAACTTGTTGCATTTGATACTGTTTTTGTTGTTCTAATGGAAAAATATTTCTATATATAGTTGGTACAAAACGAAGATAATTGAAATAATCAAGTAATAAAATATTATTCATCAGATTCTTATATGGATGTTGATTAGACTGGACCATAGGCTGTAGCATCCCACATAGCCGCTCAATTGGGAATTGCCAATAAACCCAACATGGTCCACAATTTTCAATGCAAGCTTGTATATGAAGTAAATAATGAAAAGTAATTCGAAAAGCTGGTAAGCGTTTTATATCATCATCAACATATAATCTAAATAGATATTATTGAATATTAAATAAAGTGAGTTTAGTAAAACTAAATAAAGTAAATATTATAAATTACAATACCTAGCATATAGTCTATAAAATAATCGAAAGTTTTCACTCAAATAATTTAATTGTTCATAAGTAATTGATTTTTTAATAGTAATTTTAGCTGCTTCTACGAACAAATTCCAGTGATCTACAAAGCTATTATAGTAAAATATTAATTTCGGTAATACTTATTTTACAGATAATTTACAAATATCTTAGTTTACAAATAATTAATTTACTAATAAGCTTATATTACAAGCTTATTTGTAGACAACTTGTTTCATAGATAGCTTATTTACAGACATTATTATTATTAGATATTGGTAAATTAATTGTTTGTGAACTAAGGTATTTATTAAATAATTGCTAGTAAAATAATATATATTTGTTAATTTATATTTATTAATTAATAATTAAAATTAAAAAATACCTTTTATCATGGTAAGGTTGTAATAATGGAATTGAATATAAACAAGTCCAGTTTATCCAATCCTCTGCCTTATATGCATTTGAATATTTGGCAATATCTAATGGAGGTCGTCCAAATTCTGATGGCATAGCTTTTTTGTTTTCTTCCATTATATTACCAATATTTCTCTATACAGCTTTTGATAAAGTTTGCGGGTTAATTTCTGAATTATTTAATGACTTATTCGAATAAAATGTTCCTGACCAATGCTTATACATATGCATTGCAACGCCCTCAAATACTAAATGCATTATATCTAATGGGAAAGAAATAGGAAACTGTACAGCTTTTAATTTAAAAAGAATACTTTCACCAGTAATACCTATAAATAAATAAATATATTAATATTTTATTAAATAAATTTAATTACTAAAATTACTAAATTATTTATACCAGTTTCTTGTTGAGCTTTTTTTTTATTAGAAGCTGCTTTCCAAATTAAAACCTTTTCTAAGTATGATTCATGATTACGTAAAGGAAGATTTTTCATATTATATGATTTTTCACTTTTTTTTGTAGGATGTTTTAATGGATAGTATACATGATTAATTCCTGAATCTGAATCTGAAACTTCTTTAATATCGCAAAATCTACATCCCATATATTCATTATGTCCAGTTACGTTTATTAACTTGCTAATCGCAGGTATATCTCCACACCATATTGGAGCAAAAACACGTAGAATAAAATTTTCTTGCTTCCAACCATCCCAGCATAATACACCTTCTAAAAATTAAAATTAATAGTAGTTTTATAAATTAATATAAATTAAATAATTTAATATAATATAAAAATACCTTCGAGTATTTTTAATTCACTTATAATAGGAAACATAAAACTATTAAAATCTTTAGGGCTTTTCGGCCCAGGAATGATTGCTAAAATTAATAGATTTTCTTGTTTAACTTGATCTTCTGGTGGTATATTATTATTAATAAACATAACCACCCAATTATCATCTCGTTGTTGGCGAAAAATTTGATACCCATCTAAACTTCCAGTTAAAATTATATCTCGTTCATCTTTTATCACTTCATTATTTAATAAACTTTTATATAATTGTCCATCAAAAATATCACTAATGTTGTTAGAACTAAACTTATAATTTGAACGATATCTAAAAATTTTTGATTGTTCAGGATTGGCATATTGAAATTTAAATCGAGAAGTTAATGGATAATAAGCAGCAACTTTATATACTACATTTGTTTTTTGAAATCGTTCTGATAAACATAGAGAACATTGTGTTGCTTCACTATATTCACCAGTAAATGCTATACAAGAATTGATACACATATCTACAAATAACATATCAATGTTAACTAAGCTTTGAAGAAACTTTTTTGTTAAATATAACGTTGAACTATCACAATTAAAAATTTGTAATATTTCTTTAAAGTTATTATTCGATATATGAGGATTCTTTGCCTTTAAATATAAGAGTCGCAATGCTTTAAATATATCAGAAAAATCTAATTTATTAATAACTTAAATTAAATATTAAATATATAAATATTAAATTATATAAATTCATTTACTTACCATCGATATTTCGAACTAATTCATCTATACTAACTATTTGTTTTTGCTCTAATTCTATCTTTTTCAATTCATCTAATGCTTCATAATCCAATTCCTCATTATATTCATTTAATTCTTCACATATATTTAATTCGTTATATTTATTTACTTCTTCGCATATATCTAATGTTTCATACTCATCTAAGTCTTTATCTTCATTTAGTTTTTTATAACTTTGGTTTAATCCTCTATATTGAGCTTTTTTTGGTTTATAAGTTCTTTTTATTTTAAAATATGACTTTCCGATAATAACACCAGTTTTATCATATAAGTATTTTTCGGCTTTTTTATGCTGATTCACAATTCGTTTACTAAGTTTCTGACCTTGTATATTAATCATTAAACAGTTCTTGCATTTACAAATTTCTTTTTGGCTAATCATTGTTCGTATATAGTTAATAGCGAATAGCTAAATACTTAATCGTATTGGAATACGTGATTTTAAAATTTTAAAGTTTATATATATAATTTTATTTATATATCTATGTACAGTATAAATTGTTTATTACACAAAGTACAATTAGAGAACGCGTATATATATATACGTACATACTAATAAGAATATACATACTAACTATTTACATATTGTTATTGTGTACTAATGCTAATATTAAATAAATAAATTTTAATATTAATATATTATATACTTAATACTAGCATAAATAATTATTTAAGCTCTAATATGTATCAAGAAAAAACTTGTAAATTTATAATATTTAGATTTACAGGTTTTTATCTTGCTAAATTTTTAATACTGTATATATTTAGATTTTACAGTATTATATATATGTATAACGATAACAATTTTATAAAATTCATATTATTTAATGCGCGTTAAAATTTCTAATCTAGTAAAAAAATGAACCAATTAAAAGCTATTAAAACAAATTTTTTTTAGATCTATAAATATAACTTTTTTACATTTTTGTTTACCTGTTACATTTGTTTTGATTTTTTATCACAATGGTTTCTTCTATCTCTTACGTAAACTTATCTCAAAAGATTATAGACTGTGAACTTCCAAGTTCAGAAACTTTAAATATATTGTCAACAGGACAACAAATAGAAATTTTAAAACTATGCTATAACGGACAAAAAAAATTACTTAATCAACTGCTTGAAGAAAAAAAATTAGAAAATGCTGATATTGAAATACCGATTATACAACTACCTAAAAGAAATAAAACTCAGTCATCAAAGCTAAAATTATCAGCATTATGTTCTTGATTACCAAAAGATTATTTTGCTAAAATTAAAGCTGATTTTACACCACATCTTGAAGAAAACAAAATTAAAGTATCAGTAACATGGTCACAATTAGGATATACAGTTAGAGAAAGCTGGATCGAAGATGTAAAATTTTTTTAATAATTACAGTACTAATTATCGATTAATATTTGAGAATTTTGATAGAAAACTACTTATTTGATTAACAATTTATAATTATTATAGGTATATAATAAGCATAGATCTCAAATTGGTTCTAATAAATGGATTGTTCAAGAGTGCTTGAAACAAAATTAACCGATAGAGGTAAATTTTAATATTCATATAATATAATTTATTGAATTTATTTATTATAGTTATAAAATACTAAATTATTATATTAGCTGATAATTTTAGAAAAAAAAGTAATAAAACAAAACCAAGAATTACGCAAAATTTGAATAATGATGAATTAGAATTATCAATACAACAAAATATTAAAAAAATTACTAACGCTAATAAAGAAAATATGAGTATTGATTTTGAGAAGGAATTTTGTGAAAGTATGTTTTATGTTGATTAGTATTTTTATTTAATAATAATATTAATAATTCAATTCTTTTAATTAGACGATGGTGATAATTTAGAAGATGAAGATTGCAGTAGTTCTTCTTTTAGCACTTATACTACTCCTACTCTTAACAACTATGTAACTTTAGATTCCAATGAATATATCGATCCTACCCCTAGTGGTCATATTACTTCCACTCTCAATAGCGACTGTGAAGAAGCAGATGAAGATTACATGACCCAAACCTCTAAAAGTATTACCAATGAAATAATATTTAGAATAATGTTGTTAAACGTCCAGTTCATTAGTAATTGTCATATCCTTTTATTATATTATTTATCACATCATGTAATAAATAATATAATAAAAGAATAAGATAATTACCAATGAACAGAGCGTTTAACACACACTGTTTAAAATTGATAATGTTATTTTTTAATTTAATAATTAATTTTTATTAATTACTGTATGTTTAGATATTTTAAAGCCAAGCATGTCTATTAAACAAATTATCGATAGAATTAGTAGTCGAACACGACAAAAAGCTGATACAAATTCCAAGAAACATAATCAAAGTCTAGAGAGCCCCTTACCCAAACGGATCCGAAAAGAAGATACTCAATTACCATTACAATCAACTAGTAACAATAGATTACAAGAAATACAAAATGCAAAAATTAGCAATAAGGCTAGGTTAGGAAAAGCCAAAAAATTTTAGATATATTTTTATTTAAATATATGTATTGAGTATACAGTATTTTAAATAAAGTTTTAATGTAACAATTGCTGCTAAATAATAAATTGATATATTTATTTAATTATTAAAAATGTTCATAAATATATGTATAAATAAATTTTCGAATATATGCTCAACATGCGAAAATATGTGAATTTTTGGCTGCCAAATTCTGATTCTAAATACAGCCCAAAACAGACCAATAAAACCGTGTCAGACCGGACCACAAACGTGCAAACCCAAATCTTAGCCATGGAAGAAGGATCGTGAAGTTACGTTTAATTACTCGTTCCATACCGTGCTATATCCCGTGCCAATTGGCTTAGTAAAGTGTTGCAAAAAATACGTCGATCTACGAAATTATACGTGTGCCTTGACACGGATACACGGACTAAATACGGTCCATCGATTCCGTGCCAGTTCAGACCATACGGGTGCATATACGGACCTTGCCCCGTGTTACTCAAACCTGTGTCTTTGCACTATTTCCCGTGCTTATACGGACCACTTTTCTTATAGGGCTATATTTATTATATACGGAATTTATACAAGACTTATTTTCAATTATACTTATTATATATGAAATACATACAAGATTTATTTTCAATTATACTTA